GAAACCCAAAATTAAGGGAATATACTGTAAAATGTAAAATGTGTATATATATATATATATATATATATATATATATATATATATATATATATATATATATATATATATATATATATATTGTCAGATAGTAATTAGTCAATATAAAAAGAAAATATTTAGGAGGTTTTCTTTTTAGTGATGAGAACAACAATAATACGGTGACCTTCTTGAATGTTTTTTATTACAATAAACAGCAGCAATATTATGATTGTGATTCAGAAAGTTTTTCTCCAATTTAATTGAAATATTTAAGTGTTTATTATGTGATTAAGATCAGTGGTTTATATTTATATTTTTTTATTGAAATTAAAGTTGTAGTTATTTTTGAAATATCAATCACAATAATGTATGAATTTCTCTGTTATCCTTAAACCGTTCATGATGTCTTGTAACTAAGAGCTCAATAAAAAATTGAATCTTTTTTCTTCTGCTGTATAGTAAATATGTGTCTTAGTTTACTAAATAATATCCTTCATCAATTTCCTTTTTCTCAACCAAACCAACTCCTTTAAAACGCACTTGCTGAGAGCTGGAGAGCTTGACTCGTTTCCACCTATCAATGTTTCATCCCTATTACAACACAACTTCGCTAGCAGAAGTACGTTCATCTTCGGTTTGAGACACAAAGTTTACATCAAATCTCGTACTAATTCTAACATAAATTTCCATTGATTACAATTAAATTTACGTTACCCACAATCAAGTATAAAAAATTCAACTAAATTATATCACTTATCACGTACATTATATCAATCGCCTTCGTTTTTTTCCTTTCCTTTGCTCTTATCTCTTTTCTGTTCACCTCGATTCATACCATTTTAGGTTGAATGAATATCATTACTTTCAACTAAATGTATGGTCAGCTTCGTTGAAAGTGATATGGCCATCCACAAGTGTTTTGCATTTTGAACTGCATGGTTTTGGATCATCATAATTGACGGGAGAATTGAAAGCAAATGGAAAAATTACAAAAACAAGTTAATCATAACCTCGTCGTTCGAGTTAACCTATATACTGTTTCGAAGGTTGTACCTGAATTTGAAATCAATTTGCACCATTTTATCATAGACGAATAATTGATTTTGGAGTGTTTCTTTTTGCCAGTGGTTTCTCTTTCTAGCAGCACCTTTCCAGTTGCTAATGTAGCACTATTGCATTGTCTGCAGAATGCAGCACTATTACATTTTCTTTTGTCATGGTTCTTAAATTGCTAGCAAATTGACCTAAACATGAACCCTTTTTCATTTACATGGGCCTAATGAAAATGATACTCCTTTCTTTTTTGGTATCAGTGATCGAATATGAAGCCATGCGTTCATGGAGGCATGGACCCTTCGACCCAGTTTTGGCGATGAATCTTCAATTTCCCGTAATAACCTTGACAAGTATGTCACGACAACATTTTTACTTGGATTTCTCATTTAACTTCATACATTTGTCTGTTGAATGTTAAAAAGTAAAATGTGACTCAAATCTTATTTTTCACGTTGGAAAGATGGAATTCATGAACAGGTTGTTGCAGGATCTTGAACTACCTACTATCGGATTATTATTGAATATTTTTCTTTTATAAAAAGCTTTTTGGTATGTTAAGCATAATTATGAGGCAAAGATATCATCATTATATGATTCATCCGTTGTTTACAGATATTAAAATAACATAAAAAAATATAAACAAACATCATGAAGGGTTATTATTGAATCATTTGCTCATTATTAGTTTATACAAATCACAACGACTTAAAAAACAGTTTTATGAGATTGAAATACAAATTTTAAGAATCTATTAACCCATTAATATCTTCATTAGCATGCATGCACAGACACTATTACATTACAGAAGATAACAAGCATATTACAGAAACTCACATCTGAAGAAGAAAAGAGGCAAATTAGCACGTCAATATGTTGCAATTAATACGGAGTATGGAACAAAGTTTAACAGTTTTTGGCTATACATCTCAGAGCACACACAGTGAGCTTGGGAATAGACTAATCTCATATCATGCAGCAGCATTGTTGACAACCTCCTTTTTTGCATTTGAAAAATTTGCAGGGTTTCGTATATATGATCCTAATTGTCGTAGAAATAGGAAAGAAAATGGACAACAAAAATTCGATAACCCTAGCTAGCCCTTCCACTGTGCTATATAGCTTGGAATGTTCTGCATGAAATTGGAATCAATATGCCACCCCTTTGGTAAACACATTACTTTCTTTATTTGAAGCCTTTCTTTTTGCTTGTGGTTACCATTTCTTGCTCCTTTTAGCTAGAATGAGTTGGATTTTCGATAGGATCAAGAAGGAAACGTTGAAACTAGAAAGTGAGCTAGATTTTTAGGTCTGTGAAAAGTTCAGACACGTGAAAGTAAATATCAAGATTGAGTTTCATTACTATGATGTACGACCATTTTTATTTTCATGGTTAAATTGCTAACATTTTGGCATGAACAGTTACCTTTTCCATTGACATGGGCCTAAAATGACAACTGATATTAAAAGTGAAGCCGAACAAGTACGGAGGTATGGACGCTTCCCCTCTGATCCAGTTTTGGCGATGAATCTTCAATTTTCATCAAGCTTGACAAGTATGTCACGACATGATTTCTCATTTTGTGTGTGTCTGGATCCATGGCTTCTTCGTATTGGGGAAATGGACTTCATTCTAACCAAATTGTTTGTTCATTATTATTACACGAACTGATATTTTAAGATTGTTAAAGGTCGATGGAGACCTACCATGAGTGTGTGTTCGATTTCGTTGAAAAGACGGGAGATTGGATTTGGATATTTGTTTAAAAAAAAACAAAATCCAACAATCTTTTAAATTTAATTAAAATGTATTCAAAGAATAAATTATACGGTTAAAACATGTTTTTCATTTAATAATTACGACAAATATTTATGTTTATTATAATTAAAACATGTTTAGTACAAATACTTATGTTTAATATATATAAAAAAAATTATTCAATATATTGAAAAATTTGTAAATTAATCGACATTAATCATACATATTTATGATTAGTCATAATCTTTTATGAAATTGAATTTTATTGTAATTACAATGATACACATCGTTATACGCGTCACTTGATTATTTATATAACATAAAATTAACTTTATTTTTAAGAAAGACAGCAAAATAATTGATATAATATAAAAAATCAAATAAAATATTTTAATTATATTAAAAATAAATATTTATTATATAAAAAAATACATTTTACCCTAAGATATTTAACTTTTTATCATAATTTATCCTTATATTATAAATTTAATACATAATTTATAATGTAAACTCTCACCTTTTCTACCTACTAAATTAAACATTCACATTACATTTCATACGTTAAATTCTCTTGAAATTTTTCCTTTTTATTATCTCAAAACTCCATCATTTTATCTTTAAGATAGATCCTAACTGTTTATCCTCTGACTAGATTTTTATTTTAAAAAAATCCAATAGCTGAAAAGATTTATTATTCCAACCTTGAGTCTGTTGGAGATATATAGTATAATAATACTATTTGAGATATTATCTGAAGTTTAAGCTTTATTTTATTATTATAATTTTTTTTAAAAGTATATCTCAATGGATAAGAAATAAAGGAATTTCCAAGTGACCATTAAGACTTCTAAACAATAAGAATTTGTTTTATTAGAACAAATCATTGCAACCCTCTTTGTTTTGTATCCACCAATATTCCGACATGACTTTTGGGCATACGAAAATTATAATTTTCTTAATATAAATTTAAATACATTTTATATACTCAAATATATTTATTTGTGATAAATTTTAATCATAACATAATTTAAATATTAAAAATATTTGCTTACAATAAATTTTAATTATGTAAAAATGAACATTTTATCATTCAGAACAATGGTGTTCATAACCTATTCCCTTTGTAACGTAGTTTCATATTTAAGAAATTAGACCAATATATTTTAAAAATGAGTGAGTTATAGATAATCTAAATATGGTGTAATATATCATAATATAACATTCTAATAAATTATACTATGATATACTGAAGATTAACAAAATTATATTCACACGTACTTCAATGAAATCGTTTGATTTTTAACTTTGTTGATGGAGACACATAGGTTAACGAAACTCTTTAGTCAACATCAACCCTTACTTTATTTTTTTTTTCTTTATTTTGTGGATAAAAATGTGAATGGTCTAGTCTATAGAACTTCCAAGAAAGTAGTGGAAACAAGATTAAAGTGATATATCAGATTTTTTTTTTCTAATGTTCCTTGAACTAATTGTCAAAATTTACTTTCGTTGTCAAAAATTGACTAGTTTATAACTTAAAAGACAATCAACAAAGAGGTTTACGTTTTTTGGTTCAAATATTGTCAGAGTGTAACTAATTAGTAACTTATAATGGCAGTTAACAAAGTTTGTCTATATTCACACACACACAAAAAAAAGGTTTGTGTACTTTTTTGGTTCAAATTTAAAATTGTCATTTAGATGTTTTACTCTCTTAGTTGGTCTGGAATTTGAATTTGAATTAATGAGTCAAAGAATGAAGAGCTACTTTGGTAGGGTTTCACTTTTATTTTCTCTTGTCCTTTTGAGCTACACTTTTTTTTTATAGAAATGAAATTTGTTAAACGTGAAAACGTGTAGTGCATTTTGGTTATCAAACCTATAATAATACATTGGTCAATGGAAGATGTACATTTATTTAATACAATTGTGTATAGCATTTCTTCAGTGACTCCCGATTCTAATTAGATATATTTTAAGAAAACCCACTTCTTAGTTTTAAATGGTTATTTTGGAACAAAATTATTATATAAATTATGCTTAAGCTTTCAACTCATCAAACCTGCATTTCTTTTAGCGTGTGGAAGGCCGAGAGGATTATACATGGTCACAGGAACAGTCGAAAACTCCTACTTCTGTTCCTCACATGTTTGACCAATGAAGATTATCCTCAACTAGATGGTGAATCTTCTGTGCCATTGGGTATTGGGGTAGAAGCTTCTAAATCAATTTTATCAGAGTTCGCAAACTTCAAGTAATTTTCGATCTCTCTGGAATGACCATGGCTCCCGTTAAGAGCTAGCCACTTCTTTTGTGGCCTTCTCTTTCTAGAACTTATGGCAATGGCAAGGTCATTGGGGAAGAGGTCTTTATAGACAAAGGCATGCAATATAGTTGACACAAGCAGTGCCGTTACTATGAGCGTGGAGATGAGAGTAAGAAAACCAAATATTGTCTTTGAAACTGCATTTGTGACCTCATTTGAATATCTTACTGATGCAATTGCCGCAGCAGTCATTCATTGGAAAAGTATAGGCCCACCATGCAAGCGAGAATCTGCAGAATAACATCCAAATATTCTTGTCAGAAAATTCAAAGGTGTAGTTGAATATAGTAAAAATATATAAGAGAACACATTAGATGTAACCTACGTGAATCCTCTGAAAAAGTTTATCCGGATAGCCTGCAAAAGCATAAGAAACAACTAAGTACTAGGTAAAATTTATATCAGAAATCTAGGCCTTTGTGTGTTTGTATATATTTCCAAGGGCTAAATAGGTTGAGTTCTCTTGAGACTAGTGCAAATTATTTCTTAATCCTAAGTAAATAGAAGGTCAAAAGAAAAAGAGAAAGAACGTACGAGTGAGAAATAAAGGAAGAGGGCAATGAAAAAGGTAATCCGTGATCCATAATCAAAAGAAGCCCGAATGCTGGCCCATGCCATGGAAGCAACACTAGGGGCTGCAACAAACAAAAAGAAAGCTCTTTTGGGAGGGTCTCATTTGTTGGGAGTCTCTGATAGAGAGTCACAAAGAGGACTATGTAGTGGGCCAGCCCAACAGCATAGAAGAAAATGGGCCCTTCTGTTAGGCCCATAGAAGCCCCAAGTAAGGCCCCCACAAAATTTCCAACAATTGATAAATGGTTTGTCGGATTGGCAACCTTTGAGAGCCTCCTTTGGCACCCGGACATCCATTGTCCATAGATCTTAAGTTCAAGGCAGAATATTGGTGTCATTAGAATGTACCAGAGAGCATGGGGCAATTCTTTGGCAACTGATGGGGGAACTCCAATAGCCAAGAACAAGAGAGATATCCACGGTGCAAAGAAGAAGTTAACACGGATTGGATGGTAGTACTCACGACGAACTGCTTCAAAGTAGAGAATGATTTTGAGAAGATAGATGGTGAAAAGTGTGGCAAGAAGAGCAATGGATATGATCCAGAAGACTAAGTTAACTTTGAGGCTTATGTGAAGATATTTAGTGGAAGTAGATGTGGCTATTACTTTCCAAAGAATTGCTTGGCTACCTACACCTAGGCAAATGCCAAAAGAGGCAATTGGGATCCTAAGAAGAAATGGCCATTGCATGTCCTGAGGAAGCACTGTCTCTTCTGAAGCCTGTTGGAGAAGAAAAATAAATTGTTATAATCTTCAATAATAAAAGCACCAATACTAAGAAATTATGGGGGAGAGAAAATAAGTTAATAGAATTAGGATGTTCAATAAGTAAATTATGGTTGATGCAAATGAAATATGTCCACCAAGTCATGTTGCAAGAAATTTGATTTCTTTAAATTCGAAAGAGACACTAGTAACTAATGCAATCAATAAGGTTTAAAGTTCATGTTTTGAAAATGAAAATGACAAAAGGGTGCTAACCCATTGAGCAGTCCATCTAACTAGCTATATGTCTGGTTAGTCTTGGCTCAAGTACAGCCATGTCTAATTAAATATACTTACATCTTAGACTAAGTTTCATTCAAGACACGAGGGGGGTAAATAAATGATGTAGGATATTATGGAAATTGAGGCTAATTTTTAAATACCAAAAGTTGCATGGTTTATGTTAAGGATTACAAATATTGTTGTATCACACAACTGGATATGATTTGATACAAGAAAGTAACCACATACCCTGAGAGTTTCTAACTCTGGACCTTCCAATGCACCGAAATACCGATCAACAGGTAAAGGGCAATCAGGGTTCCTGGAGATGTTGCTACCATCTTCTGAAGTTTTTCTCGGTCGCTTTCGTCGTAGAAATAATAGCTTTCTTTCAAGTCTCCCAGACCATGTTTTGAAAGAGTCAAACCTCTTGACCTTGAACGCTTTGATGCCAGATTGGTTGTTTGCTTCTTGGGGTTCATGGCCTTCTGGCATTGGTTGAGGGTACCAATTTGATGGCTGTGGATGGATAGAGGTAGCAGTTTCCGATTGAGAAGAGGAAATGGGAATACCTTTTTCTTTGGTGTCCAGTGTTTGAAGCTGAACTTCTTCAGAAGAAAGTGGCATGCTGATAAAAATAGATGACATCCTACGATAATTGATGACTACAGATTCATCGTGCTGTCTTTCCGGTGAGGTTGCTTCACTTCCCTATTGCCAACATGGGACATTGATTTTTCTAATCTCTCAAATTATAAACATATAAATTCCTAAGAATTTATATAAATGAGGGTGGACCAAGATATGGCTTGAAGCCATAAATTAGGAAGATGATTAAGGAGAAACTGTCTAATCTTATTAGAAAAGTAATTGCATTCAATTTTTATTATATTTTCCGCAAAGTAATGATACTCTTTCTATATCTATAAAGTGGGTACATTTTCTCTATCACACTTCCTCATTTTTACCTTTTCTTATGAGGTTCACAACATTATCATAATTAACAGCAATTCAAAAAATAATTAGGAGATTGTAGGAAACCATTGCTAAAACTACTCTATTAATAACATATTTTCTATTAATTAATCTTCAATTTCAAGTGTTCAATTTGAAATTATTATTTCTTCTATCACCTATTTAAACACTGATTTTCATTAAAAATAACCGAATAAGGTCCCTTTTAATATAATCAATAAGAAAAATTAAGCAAATGATTTATATTAGAAGTAAAATAGTCATCCAAATAAATATAAAGTAATTATAAGTATTGTAAGAAGTAAATATATTTATATAATTAAAAAAAAATTATCAAAATCAAAATTCAAATATATCCATGTATAATAAAAAAAATTGTTCTAATATAATTAAATTTTGTGTGTACATTAAATATTAATTTCGGATTAATGTATATTTTAATACTAAATTAATACACTTAAAAAAATATGCCAATCAAACAAAGTATTTAGAATAATATTTTCTAATATATATATATATATATATATATGCACTTTCCCAGTTCAATATTTGAGATATAGAAACAGAAACTAATGTTACATACAATCAATGCATTGAGACAAAATGTTAAGTAATTGAATAATATAAGAAGTAAAAAAAAATATGGTTTTAAAACTCATATAAATAAATATGCTTAAAAGATATATTAAATTAAAAATTATAATAATGTTTATAATGATGTTTCTGCAAAGGGGTAACTTTTATTAGAGAATGGTTTTAGGATGCTTGTATATAAGAAAAGATAAAAAGTGAAACATAAAAATATTTATACACCATAACCTATGATGCTAACTATATATTAGATGTTTAAATAATGAAAGTGTAGATTTTATTGTGAGAGTTATTTGCAATAAATATCAAAAGATTGAGTTAGTCTAAAGTAAGCACTAGCAACCATATTGAAAGAGATTATCACGATTTCGATTATGAAGATAATAAAAAAGACATGCCAGCAATTATGTTCCAAAATTTGAGGTTTGAACCTCGGGATTTTTATCTACAACAGAAGACATGTTTAGCACGGAATTGAATAAGATCATGTCGCCAACTCACTGTGAGAAATATTCGGATTCATAGTTTAAAAAGCAAAATCAAGGATACTTTACGATTTGTTTTTTATTTTATGAAAATAATATCTTGTAGTTTCAGATCGAGTATTCTCTTAACCACCATTTTTTCTCTCAAATATTTAATGTTATACGTTTGAAACTTTTAAATTAGAAAAAAAACACATGAAGCAATAAACCATTTTTTATAGACTTAAACTATTATCTCAAACACTAGATTAATGTTAACAAAGTATTTAGTTGGAGCCTTTATAATGAAAATATATTTAACCAGGCAGAGAAATTTCACTGAAAATAGTGGACCAATTTCTTCAACAATGAGTCATCACCACACTTTACTCAAAGTTAAAACTTATCTAATTAACAAGAGTCTTAATATTATTAACATATATATGATTAGTTTCTCACGAGTAAAGAAATCCCATGAAAAATAAAGCCACTGCTCAATAATATTCTCATATTTAATTTATATGCGTGAATTAAGCTGATGATAACCCTAAAAAAGTCATAGTCAAGAAAACAAGTGAATAAATAATACACGACAAAAACATCAATTTCCCCACGTTTCTATGTTGTTGGTTCAACATTTAAAGAGCAAATAGATGTCAACCCATGGCAAAACACGGGTTTATTTTCAAATAATTCATAAAAAAATTATTTAAATGTTTAAGCAATTATTTTTTGTTGAAATAATAAGATAAACATATTGTGATTTTTAGAGTTTACAATGGTGTATATTTATATTTTTAGGTTTAAACTTATTTTAACGAGATTTTCTTCTGAAATAAAATACAATTTTTTTTCTGACAAAGTTAAAAAAAATGTAAATGAGAGATAGTTGGTTAGTATTATCATGCAACGTCTTTTGTTATTATATAATAATAATGTGAAACATCATAATGAATTCGTTATTCACATGACACCTAATTAAAATATAATAATTGAAATTATTAAATGGGGTTTAGAGTTAATTAATGAGAAAAAAAATATTGTAAGTCACCTGAAAACATAAGACATAAAACTTGTTTGTAATAAAGATGCAAATCGTTTTATTTTTTATTGTAGTAGCATCATAATTTATTTAAAAAAAAACTAATAATCTATGTTTTTTTAGAAATTAACGTCTTTTTATTATGTTTTTACATGTTAATCCTATATTTGCTTGATCCAACGTTATTATGTTCTATGAAACAAAAAATAGTAATAATTCAATTGAAAATTAAACTTCAATAAAACAAAGTTAAAAATTGAAATTTAGTTCATGGTTGACATTATAATCAATCGACACACAGATTATACATCCTACAAAATCAGTAAAAAAATAAATGAAAATATTTATAGAACTTAAATTAACACTTGTATATATGGTGTTACAACCAAATAAAGATTTCAAACTATAATTTTTATAAAAAATAAGTATAATAAAATTGATCTAATTGCAATTTATATTATTTAGAAAAATACTTGTCTATATATAGGGGCTATTATATAAAGTTAACAGCTTTTAAAGCTATTAATTGAAATTCAAGAAAATTAGAGCTCTAATGAGAGGGTGAAAATGTATAAAACTTGGGAGGAACTTGCATTTCATTTTTTATATATCATAATAAATAATAGATATAGGTTAATTTAGATTTGAGCAAATGAATTATAGTTGCTTAATTTTGTTTTATTAGTCTCCTAATTATATTTTAGTCATTGTGGAACATTAAACATGAACATCTCTTCTAACAAATTCAAACCTTAGTTTGTCACATTGTAGAGTATTTCCTTTTCTTAAACCTAATTCTCCATGCCTCACCTAACTTTCATTATGAAAGGATATATATTCAAAATTTATGACCAAAATAAACAAATTGAATAATGTAATAAAAGAAAGTATTCGATTTAATTCCTCTATTTTTAAAACGTTCAAACTAGTCTCTAATTTTGAAAGATTGGCCACATAATAATGATTTTTTACTAGTAAAACAACTCACTCATTTTACAAATTATAAACTTGGGAACTGTTTCTACAATAAAATGCCCTTCATACACAAACCTTCATATTCTACTATACATGGTCACTGGAACAATCAAAACTCACTTCTGTTCCTCACATGCTTGACTAATGAAGATTATTATGCAAGCAACTCATAATAGAATATTCTGTCTTTTCAAGGACACATTAGTCTGGTAACAAAACAAATATCCTCAGATAGATGGTGAACGCTCTGTGCTATTCGATTCTGTGGGAGAAGCTTCTAAATCAATATTATCCGGGTTCACAAACTTCAAGTAATTTTCAATCTCATTGGACTCATGGCTTCTGTATCTGAGACCTAGCCACTTCCTTTGTGACTTTCTCTTTCTGTCACTGATGGCAATGGCAAGGTCATTGGGAAAGAGGTTTTTGAAGACAAAGGCATGCACTATAGTTGATACAAGCAGGGCTGTTACTATGAGTGTGGAGATGAGACTCAGTATGACACTCAGTGTCTTTGTAACCCCATTTGTGACCTGGTTTGAGTATCTTATTGTTGCAATTGCTGCACCAGTCATAGGAAAAGTATAGGCCCACCATGCAAGCGAGAATCTGCAGAATAATAACATCCAAAAACAATTGTCAGAAACAAATAATGTAATTGTATAAAGTAAAGAATATAAGAGAAACAGGGTATGTAACATACTTGAATCCTCTGAAAAAATTGATCCTGACAGCCTGCAAAAGCGTATGAAACTACTTAGTACCTGGTAATTTTGATTTCAGAAAGCTATTATAAGTGTTACTTATGAAAACTATATGATGCCCTGTTTAAGAATACATATGAAATCTATACAACATTGAGCATGCATATTTGAACCAGCTACTTACATCGAGTTTTCTTGAAATTTGAGCAAATTATACTTACCAGTGAAATTACTATTTGAAATATGAAAGGGTGAAAAAGGAAAAAGACTTACCAGTGAGAAATAAAGGAAAAGGGCTATGAAATAGGCAATTCGTGATCCATAATCAAAAGAACCCTGAATATTGGCCCATGCCATGGAAGCAACACTAGGGGCTGCAACAAACAGAAAGAACACAGGATGGAGCTCTTTTGGGAGGGTCTCATTTGTTGGAAGTCTCTGATAGAGAGTTACAAACAGGACCATGTAGTGGGCCAGTCCAACAGCAAAAAAGAAAATAGGCCCTTCTTTAAGGCCCATAGAAGCCCCAAGTAAGGCCCCAACAAAGTTTCCAACAATTGATAAATGGTTTGAAGGATTGGCCACCTTTGAGAGCCTCCTTTGACCCCCAGACATCCACTGTCCATAGATCTTTAGTTCAAGACATAATATTGGTATCATTAGAATGTACCAAAGGGCATGGTGCAAGTCTTTGGTCACTGACGGGGGAACCCCAAGAGCTAAGAACAAGAGAGCTATCCATGGTGCAAAGAAGAAGTTAACACGGATCGGATGGTAGTACTCACGACGAACTGCTTCGAAGTAGAGAATGAATTTGAGAATATAGATGATGGAAACTATGGCAACAAGAGCAATGGATATGATCCATAAGATTAAGTTGACTTTGAGACTTATGTGAAGAAATTGAGTTGAAGGAGATGTGGCAATTGCTTTCCAAAGAATTGCTTGGCTGCTAACTCCAAGGCAAATACCAAAGGATGAAATAGGAAACCGAAGAAGAAATGGCCATTGACTGTCCTGAGGAAGTACTGTCTCTTCTGAAGCCTGTTTGTTGGGGTGGGAGAACAAAAATTGTTATAATCTTCAATAACTAATAAGCAAAAGCAATCATGCAAGGAATCTATATGGAGAAAAGGAATAAAAATGTCAATAGAATAAGAATCTTTGAAAGGTAAATTACTGTGTTGTTGATGCAAATGAAATATGTCTACCAAAAAGTTGCAATAAATTTTATTTCTTCAAATTGATAAGCACATGGGGAAGGCTTCCCTGTCTTAAAAGCTAGTTGTTTAGGAGTATAATAAAGTAACTCGGTACTTTATTGAGCATCTCATACCATCATTCAACATAAGACTGAGACACCCCATAAATGCTTGGTCTATGTTATAACAACTGGATATGAATTGATAAAAGAAAGTAATCACATACCCTGAGAGTTTCTAACTCTGGACCTTCCAATGCATCAAAATACCGATCCACAGGAAAAGGCCTCTCGGTGTTCCTGGGGTTGTTGTTACCATCTTGTGCAGTTGCCCTGGGTGACTTTCCTCGTAGAATTGATAATTGCCTCTCAAGTGTTCCAGACCACGTTTTGAAAGTGTCAAACCTCTTATCCTTGAATGCTTTGATGCCAGGATGGATGTTTAGCTTGTCTCCGTTAACTCCCTCTTGAGCCACATGGACTTTTGGCATTGGTTGAGAGTAACATTTTGATGGCTGCGGGTGGTTAGAGATAGCATTTCCTAATTGTTTAGAGGAATTGGAAATACCAGCTGTTTTGGTGGCCAGTGGTTGAACCTCAAGTAGAGAAGAAAGTGGCATGCTCATAGAATACTTCTTTTGATGATTGATGACGACAGGTTCAACATCTTGTCTTCCTTGAGAGGTTGCTTCACTTCCCTGTTGCATACATGGAAACACTTGGATTTTACTAATCTCTCAAATTATAAACTTAAGAAAGCTATATTGTAAATTACAAAAAAGCATAAAAACACAGGTATTCCAAATCCTACATGCCATAAAAGAAACTCTATTTTTGGAAATTGGTTTATAAGATTCAATTTTGCTGGTGAAGTACTAAAAGGAGTCTTACATTGGTGGATGGGCTGGGAAACTGAAAGTCAGAAGTATCAAAGCCAGCAACTTCACTTGATGATATATACTTAATAAGTGATGGAACTTCTGGAGAGCCTTGTTCTACAATTTCAATGTTTACGTTGTTTTCCATGCCAGACCTGAGAAAGATATATATGTTAGACTTCCTTTGTACTTACTCATGTAAAGTTACATCAGATAAGATTCAATAAAATTCAACATAAAGCTTTGCCACCAATTAACAGGATCTCATTGGTGAGCATAGAACCATATATGCAGAAACAAGAACAGCTGCACAAATTCAGATCCAAATTAGATAATGAGCAAAATGAATAGATGGGTTGACAAAGAATAATGCATCGGTCATCATTCACATCTTGCTCTCATTATTGAGACAAAGACAATGCTCTACATTCAATAGGATGATCACATTCATCCTCTTAGTTCACAGATTACTTATTATTTTCGTAGAAATTATGTTCCTGCCAAGCACAGCAAATTGAAAGGGCACTCCTAAATATGCATGCAGTCAAAATCAGAGAATATATGCACATCTTTTTTCTAATTTTGAAGCCTTCCCTCTTCTGGATGGTTCTTGTCCGCTAAATGAATAAAACAGGGAAAGGTCCTTTTTCCCTCCCCTCAAAAAATAGACAAAACAAAGTAAGTGAAAGAATGAGGATCAATAAGCATTATTGGATAATGACTGCAGAGATGTCAAATCTCAGTCCCTTCCATCTTCTCCAAAACACTGTTAACATTAATCTTGTTTGGATGAAGCCATAAATGCAGCAGCCCCCAGCTATTAATTTAATCCCTATTGGCCATGAATCCATATCCAATATAATGGTGCCATTATTGAATAACGGTGACATGAAACGCAGACCAGTCTTTGTAGAAAAGAAATCAAAGGCCAATGCAACCTCAAACACATAGCAGAAAACACACATATTCACATAATACATAGCTGGATAATGGAGAAGTTCATTGTGCAAGGGAAGAAAACACAAGAATTAAAAGAAAAAGGAATAAGAATTATAACGTTTACCTCTGCCACAGGACTGGCTGGTAGAAATCTTGGACAAGTTCTAGTGAATTGATGATCAAAAAGATAGATTTTGAATCGAACAAAATTTGACTTCACCAGAGAAAATGCACCGTATAAAAAAATGACGAGGGAAAAAGAAGTGACTTGAAGTCACAGGATTAGAAAGATGGTTATATATTTGGTCCAAGACCTTGGTAGGTCAAGTGTACTTTGCAATCGTAAGTTTGAAAGGTCCTTATTTTTCATAATCACAGCTACTTATTTGTCTGAAAAAGACGCGTCCGAGGAAGAGGACAAAACAGCATAAAATATTGTAGGACAGGTTCGAACATACTATTTGAAACGCCCAACTTATTTTGTGGATCAAGTGATGAACAACTGGGTTTGACAAGATAAATATATATAAAAAAAATTATTGAGTAGGTAGTTGGCCTACACTTGAATACAATGGTGCGTTCCTGGAAGATGAACGATGATGAAATTGTGGAAAAAAAAGATTACGAACTTTCAAAATAATAGTTGTTACTCATAAATTTGGAGTGAGAGTTACACCATTTTATGAGTTTTCAATCAATTTTAGTTAGTTTATAATAAGGATTGTGGCTAAAATAGTGTGTTAACACCAGTGTGAAGAATAAAGATGAATTTACAACCAATTTTGTTTGAACATACAACTAAATGATAATCTTTTATTTTTATTTTTTACTTTTATTTTTTGAATATACAACTAAATGATAATCTTTCATTTTTATTTTTTACTTTTATCTTTCTTATTATATATTATTATTATTATTATATTAATAAAAATAGATGTCAAATAGTTTTTTTTTAAGGGTTGTGAGTTGTTCTATGAATAATCTCAATTTGAGTCATGTATGCTGTTACATTAAATATTTCAAACGAAGAAAAGCGATTCTTGAATAAAAGTTACTATTCATGAGCAACTCACAGATAGATGAACAAAATACGTAGGTTATTCCAAAGTTTCTAGTATTAGTGGTACAACTAATGTACATCTACAATTATAAGTAGATTATATATACATGTATGGATATATGTACGTATAAATATATAGCAAATTTAGTTGTGAATTAGAAGAAAAAAGTCAACAAAGTTTCTGGGTCGTTGACCTGCCGGGTCTATTAAGGTTAATTACTAATGTTAAACTTAGTTTCACAATTAGAGGATTAAAATAAAACTTTGTACTGATTAAGAATACTATATTGAACAAAAAAATTATATGAGATCCAAATTATCTTTAGCTACGTGTAAGGACTACAATATTTAGGCACTAGATTTTTTTAATTTAAATTGATTGTGCTTTTAAAAAAAATTATTTGTTAATCAATTACTTATTTTGATACGTTAGAAAAAATGTTTTTAAATTCAAAATATAAAACTCATTAATAGAGGTGATCATATATATATATATATATATATATATATATATATATATATATATATATATATATATATATATATAAGGTTAATATGGATGAAATTAAAAACAAATAAATATAATTTAAGTTTATAAAAAAAAATTGTCTATTTAATCCATAAGCTGTTAAATAAATAAAAAATATTTTTAAATTTTAAATTATATTAATAAAATTAGTTTTTATTTAATGTTTTAATATGTAAATTATAAAAGAAGATTATTTTTTTCATAAGAGATAAATTTTTATTCTTTATACTTTTTATTAATTTATTAATATAAAAAAATTAATTTTAATAATTAAATCTTGGAATAAATTATTACGAGAGATTTACTTTAATATTTATTTTTAGAATAAGTAAATCTTTTATCAAATTAATTTATAATATATATATATATATATATATATATTTAATAAAATAATATTATTTTAATTTTAATTTAAAAATAACTATTATTTTATAAAATGACTCAGTTATAAATTTACAAGTTATTTATCCTAAATTCATCTAAATCATAACTTAAATAAAAAGATAAATTAGATTTTATTCAATTTATATAAAAAACTTTTAACTTAATCTAATATATTTTTCTAACATTTAAATTAATCTATTAAATTAAACTTATTTAATATTTATCCATTTATTATTTTAAAACCTATCTATTTTATCTTTTATAGTCATTTTATGTAAATTCATCTATCAAACTATTTTGAGAAGTCTAGTTTAAGATGCATGTGAGTATAAAAAAGATAAAGAGTAGAAGATAGAGATATTCATATACCATCACATAACATGCCAACTATTTGATGTTTAAACAATTAATGTTCAGATTTTAAATTTAAAGCACATAAAAAGTATTGTGGTAGTGAGAAGTTAGCAGCAGCAGCAGCCAAAGTGAAAGGATTGGGACGGTTTCGAATTTCACACTGTGCTGGTCTTTATCAGTACAGCAAGACACAGTTGCAACTGTTCCTAAATTTTCAAACTTTGGAACTTTATCTAAAAGGGAACACATGTTTAGCACGTAATTGTAGATGTTACCAACTCGCATTTTAAGACTAACTTCAAACCTACTCAAATTCATAATATTATAAAGCATGCAAATAAAAATCAAGGATGTTTTACAATACATGCATGTCCATGGAAAGATAAAATTATAAGTTAATAGATTCATTAATGTATTTTTCATCATCATGTTGTTATTATTTGAAATTTTAACTCAATTTAAGTAAAATATTTATAACAATATATAATGATTTGAAATTTGAATTCAATTTAATTAGAATTTATAACGTTATGCATACAAGAACGAGAACATTTTGTTATCTTAAATGTGAATTTGAATTTGTATGTTTAATTATTGTTTATTTTAGAATTCTCGTTTATTATAATTTTTTAAGTAATTTGGGATTTATGAGTATAACAGAATATAATTCTTTAATCATGGATTAAAATATATAAAAAATGAGTGAGACATAGCTCTTAATTCATTTTGGAGCTTTTATATCCATTATAATTTTGTTCTTAAAATAAGAGAAAAAAGTGTATATAAACTACCGAAACATAATATCCTAATCGAAGACTATGGAATATGAAAGAGAAGCGAAACTTAACTCTCGATTCATTTTGAAATTCTAATTTATTACGGTTATTCTTAAAATAAAAGATAAGGGTATATATAAACTACCAAACTCTTAATCAAAAGGTATGAAACTCTCGACTCACTTTGAAGCTCTCATCCATCACATTTTTATCCTTAAAATAAAAGAGGATGGTGTATATAAATTATCAAACTTCCTAATCGACGGGTATGAAAGTGGAGGAAAGACTCAACTTTTAGCTTCTGGTTCACGATGGATGCCAATAGTCTCGAGTATCATGTTCGTTATGATAATATTGTTAGAACAATTCTTTTATTCAAGGTATTGTTCGATTTTAAGTTCTCATCTTTTATAATTTTATTTTTAAAAAATATCTCAATAAATTAAGAGAGGAGAGTGTATATAAATTATTATTTATCTCCACTCCAAGTCAGGCTTATATACTAGTGTACCAGAAATAAAAATTAAAGTTTTATATGCGTAGGTGACTATGACTCCTGATAAATATCTCTATTAAAAAATAAAAAATAATAACTTTTACTAAATCAAAGTCAACCACGAGAGGAAAATGAATGAATAAATAATACAAAGCAAAATGTACCAATAAGTCCACATTTGTTTTGCATGCTGGTTAAGCGTTTAAAATATAGAAAGAGTTTACGTGTGTTTATTTAAAAAAAATATTAAAAATACTTATTTTAAAAATTAAATAACTGATACAGAGACTAGTTTTTTAATATAGACGAATAAAGAATAAATTTGAAATAAGAAAAATAATTAGAATAATAGAAATAAAATAGCATTATTAATCAATCATTATATTAAATTAATAAATTTGTAAATTATATTTTTTTTTTCATCTTCTCAAAATGAGGTAAATAGGAGATATCCAAATTTTCTGAATATGACGTTAATATTAAAAATAAATGAAATAATTTTATAAATTAATTTAGAGAAGTTATTTTGTATAAACTAATTATAATTTACATAAAAAAATATGATTAATTTATGAGAATGTTTCATTCAAGCAAACTCCAATACATGTTG